TGGAGTCCTGAGCTGGCAGGAAGAACAGAAGGAGGGGTCGTCTTTGCAAGTCAGGTGGGAGCTTTCAAGGGGTTTCTGTGATCCAACCCGTCACAGCCACCCACAATCTATTGGCAACACCATGCAAAAGTGAAGACAGTGGCCCGTCATACAATATATATACAAACCCTTGGCAGAAGACTGGGGAGGAGGGGGGAGGGAGAAGAGGGAAGAGCCATTAGTGTAACCAGCTACAGACTGGAATTAGTTTGAGGCTGTGCCATTGCCCCCTCTCCAGCACTTGCTTGTAGGGTATCTAAAAGGCTGGGAGGCTGGGGCAGTGGTAAAGAGATAGAATGAGAGTACACTGACTAAAGAATCTGACGTAAATTGCAAAGGTAAGTAGTGATATTAAGTGGCCAACTTGAGACATTCTCTTTACGATTAGCATAAGGACCCCAAGCTCCTCTGTAGAAGTCAGGTGGCTATCACTGTGCAGCTGGTAAAAAGCAGTTAGCATGCATATGCTCACAAGGCAATCCTTGCATGCCACCTTACAAAGTACAGAGCAGTGTGGAGTCTGAGCCGAATGGAGTGCATAGAGTTTCATTAAGGGTGGGCGTAATAATAACCTGAAGTCTACTATATTAATGAAGGTAATGAGGATATCAGTAGGTATGAGCACGCATGAAGATACTGGATTGAGAGCCTCAAGGGGAAGCACAGGGGAAATATCACCATTTCCCCTTTCACTTGCTCTTCTCAGAGGCTATATCATAATTAGAGATGCTAAGTACTTCACTGAGGCCTGTGCAGTCTGTGTTGCACTGTAAAGGAAGATACCGTAGAAGGCACATAGAGCACTAATTCCTTGAGGCCATGCTTGAGAATTTAGGTTTTTGCATGTTACAGCCAGGTGTGAGAGCGCATGCTTCTGTGGAGTTGAGAGTCAAGGTCAACGGCCGTGTCAAAGGCTTGTTAAGGGCTAACGCTTCACTCTACACAACTAGGAAGAAAACGAGGAGCTGTGTTTACAGCCAAAGATCATGTAGAAAAAAAATTCTCACTGGTGCAACTGAATCAGTTATACCACTAGTGGGAATATTTTGCTGAACCCTTTTACTATAGACAAGGCCTTAGGAAACAACTATCCACAAGAGATCCATGTTCTGTGGCAGTAGCAGAACGAGTGTCATGGCACATGAAGTGAACCAACATAGCAGGTACTTAGTCTCTCCAGTCAAAACAATGACACAACAATGACACAATCATAAGTAAAATTTCAGAGAAGTGGGTACATCAAAGGAATTAATGGGTCTGGGGTGGGGCAGGGAGGACAAGGTCAAAAACAACAACAAAACTCCCCATAAAACCGGGGCCATGGAGAGCGAAGGAAGGATCCTCTACTGCACCCCCAAGAATTCTAACAGTAATAGCAGCAACTATTTTTGTAGGGTCTACATACTGTTTCTGTAGAACCAGCATTCCGTTTTTTTAAAAAAAGCTCTTTCCTGAGTGGTAAACATTGCTGCTCACATCAATTAATCATGCTGATGCTTCAACAATAAAATAGGGGTAAGTTTGCCTTATCCTTATTTTATTTATAAATAAATAAATATGTATGGGGAGGATAAGAAATCATAAATATTTGCCAGATAGAAAGGGACAAAAACTGGTTTGAAAATCATGCTTATTTTCCAGCTTTTAAGAGGCAGGGTTAAAAAAACCCCCATAAAGTTCAAATTAAAGCAAATCAGCTGCTGCAGGTGTACCAAGTGTATTATGTATCCTCTGTACTATTTTCAAATATGTTCCTACATGCCTATCCTGGAGATCTAGGGATTTTGATACATTTTAAACAATAATAAAGGCGAACAGACAAATAAACAATCACTTGCCCATTTAAATTCAACTTCCAGTCCTAAATATATTATTTTGTTGGATGCTTCCAATCCGCAATGTCCAATATCCTTCAACCCACCCCATCAACTAAAAGCCCTAGAAAGAATGACTTTGCAGCTTGCACTGAAGGTTGTAAAAACTGGGCTGTGTCAGGCTAAGGGTGAGAGCGATGAAATTGGATGCGTGTCTCCGTATAAGACAAATGTTCCAAGAAGTACTGAATCTAAACTGGATTAACTAATATGAGAGTATGAAGTTAGTAGACATTCAAATGCAAAATGGTTAGTCAAGTTAGTTGGCTCTGTACCTTCTCCTATGAATGGGAGGCTTCCTTATACCATCCCCCAGAACTCGCATTGAACTGAAAATGAATCATGGAAAGCGGTCAGAGATGAGAATGGAACAAAATGAACAAATGACAGCTGAAGGGAAAACACCCATTCCTCCCACCCGCCCTTCCCTCCCCAAAAACAAACAGCAGAAGGAAGGAATGAAAAGGGGAGTATAAAAACTATAGCACTTAAGGGAGAAATGTGTCTTCTATGAAGTTATCTTTCTCCCTCTATTTCACAGTAAGGCCTTGTTACCGAACAAAGTATAATGGCCACTGACGATGGTTGCATATAAACAGGTGCCAGTCATGGGTCGGCTGTATGTGTAGACAAGGACAAACTAGTCAGTGCCAGTTCAACAGCAGGCATTGTTAGCAACCCTCACTGGCAACAGCTCTATGAGGTAGTGTAGACAAAGTCTAAAGGACCATCAGTGAAAAATCTATTTTTTCTTTCCTTCAAAAGGGCATTAAGAACATGGCAACTAGTGGCAATCTGGACATGGCAATGATGAAAACATGGTGCGTGACTGCAGTTCACAGAGACATCCTCGAGCCAGCTATAATCCAGCTAACTTGGACACAGGAGCACTGACGCATGGTAGCATGATTCCAGTGTGGGCTAGCCCTGGGTTCCAAGTGGCCTTGTACAGTCCACCACGAACCCTGTACTGCTCCAGTACCTGTACCTGAGCCAAATAACTAGGTACGTTAGCTGAGTATGTCTATATGAGCTGCAATCCACCCCATGTGAGATGTATAAAACTCAGTATGAACTCTAAGAATTACCAAGGATAAGCATGCTCCATTGGAGCCTTATAAGTATTCTTCATGAGATTTATAAAGGAAAAAAATGGTTTAAAAACCATATTTAAACGATATTCAAGATGCTCAACAGGTTGTGTCTTTTTCTTCTTCTTTTAATAAAAAGATTATGCTCCACTAATTATTTTACCATAGAAATATAGAGAATATCAAATCTGTTATTCCCTGCTTTTGCTAGAGGACCCATGGGGGAGGGTAGAGTCTCGCATGGGCAGCTCTCTCAGGGCCTGGTTCAGCTTTCATTCTAGTCAATGGAAAGACTACCTTTGACTTGAATGGAATTGGATCAGGTCCTCAGCCCTTCACTGAAGGATGGAGGAGTTAAATCCCAACAAAAATATTCTAGTTAAATAGTTATTAGCAAAAAACAATCAACCAAATAGAGATTTGGGTTTGAATAAAACTGAATTTCCAGGCCTTTATGCATCATAAATAAGCAAAAAGGTGCAAAACCCCAACAGGTTTTTCCTTTGCAAATCACCTTTCAGCCAGATGTACACCCTTGTCTATTGGTGGCTGTGTACGTGAAAATATGAAAATAATTTCTCTGTTTCTTTACTTAAAAAAGAATATATCAATCATTTACAGTAGGAATATTTTTCCATGTCACAAACATCCAACCTGTGCCATCCAACCTCTGATTCAGAAGTTTTTAACTCCATCTGCTTAGCATTAGCTGTAATTGCCAAATATGCAGAGTTTATTACCCTCAGAAATCCTTACATAATAAGTTCAGTACATAAAAAATAAATCTTTCTAAATTAATTTATGAGCTTATAGACTCAGTCTGTCATAAACTGGCTTTGATCTCTGAAGTTGCCTCTCTTGCGGTTCTAAAATATCGGTGTGATTTTATTTATTTGTGTGTCATCCCGGGACCTGGAAAGAAGTCCAGAAAGGGGTGACAAAGTCATGTAACAAAACAAACAATGCATATTACTTTCCGAGTACCGAATGGTTTCTCAAGTTTAGCTTTAGAGGAAATAAAACTTATAATTTAAGGATCTATAATTTCTCTTCAGTGCATGAAAATAACATCTAGAAATGTCAAGGGGATTTATCCACATGCATTAAAGGGTGACTAATATCTCTAAATCGGGGTCACCAAACTCTACCCTCTGGCAATTTACCAGGAGCCAAAGGACAACTATTGGTTTTAATATAATGCAGACGACTCTGGCCATGTTACTTGTTAATACGGAGCTGTGACCCATGAAAACAACAACTCCCAGCAGTCAACTGGATGGGTTCCAATTTGACTCCTGATGGACCTGCAGCCTTCAACAAGCCACGCATCCATATTGCAGATGAGAGTGGTATACAATATATGTGACTTAGGGAACAAACTTTGACCACCCTGGCTCTAAAGGGATGTTGGTCCTATTTAAATCAACGGCCAAACTCACTTGGTTTCAACAGGACCAGGATCTTAAATGACTATGTAAAACTAGAGTAACTTTTGTGCGGTGCAAATGAAGAAAGGCTGATGTGCATAAGAACATGCTGGGTACAAAGGAAGTCAGAGAACTTGATAGTTACTCAGAATGCAGAGGGCTTACTCCTAATCAGTTACTTTATGGGTGGAATTTTTCTGCAACTGGAGATCAAGGGAGGAGTGGTTCTGGAAAATAACATTATTTCTTTTCACAGTAGTTGATGTAAAGAGGTACATGGCAAGCCTTGCCTTTGTGGTGTTCCCTAGTCTTTTCTGAAAGGAGAGAGAGCAGAGGGGGAAACTGGAAGAACATCCTAGGCATAGGGTGTATAGGGTCTGTCCACTTCATTCAATACTTCAATCCTATCAGGATTCAAATTGGAACCCATCCACTCCAGTCCCAAGACTAAAGGCTTATATTTTTCCATTACAGCCTTACAGCCCACACAACACCTTAATGTGAGAACGCTACTGATTAATAGTGGCTGTGTTTATTCTGTGGTCACCTAGATTTAACTCAGATAACCTTTCCTTTAGCAAAACCCTCTGCATAGGAACAGGTGGTGATAATTTACATTAAGGACTGGTCCAAGGTGTTTCCATTCACTTCAATGGGCTTTAGATAAGGACCTAAGTCCTCTGAAAAGCTAAAATATATTGTAGACATAAAGTACTTTTAATTCAACATGTAATTAAAACCAGGAAGATTAGTTTGTTTGTTTTTGTAGTAAGTGGTTCTCTCTCTTTCTCTCCTCAGAGTTCATCGAATGACCTCACTTTTCCGTGTTTTTGCACATCCTTCAAATGCCAAATCGCAAAGCCCACATGCACATGCTTATGTGCGTGTAAACAGCTTTAAACAGCCTTTTTCACTCACCTCCTGTGATTGATTTCTGCCTCATTGGCAGCATTCTTCCCCGGCCCCCAGCTGTGCCGTCGGAATGGTGACAGTGGTCGCATGGAATTTCTTAAGACAGAGGAGTGGGTAGGCACTTCTGTAATACTGTCCATCTCTTCTTCCATCTCGCCCGAGCCACCAAGTTCACTCTCCCGTCCCCCTGCGGCTCCCATGTCAATGCCGTTTCCATCCAGAGTGTGCCTCTCCTTAGGCCTGTTGAGGTTTAGAGCATGTGGAAGGGATATGTCACTCCCAAGAGAGGAATTCCTCTCCAAAGAGACTGTGTCGTCTGCCGATGAGCTGGAACTGGTGACATCGCAAGCAGACTGTTCCTCTTCAGGCTGTTACAGCAAAAGTAAAAACATGAAACTTAGGTAAGAGAGATCTCAACTGACAGCCCGGGCCAGAGCCAGTCATCACAAAAGCTAGGCCCGTTCCTTCTTATTTGCGCAAGTCACCCCCTACAACTTTGCTCCCTTGTCTTATCCTACCCAAAAATCTCATCCTGCTACTGTAAAGTTGGGCTCCCTACTCAGTTCTGCCAATGCAATCCAATCCTGACACTACAGCACTTCCTGCTATTCTATTAATGTCCTTCTCACAGTTCTGTTAATGCACCGTAACCCTACAATGTAGCTTCTCCTGCATTTCCAGTCCTAAAGCCTTGTGCCAGGCAAAGACTTGTAAGCCTGCCAAATACTTATGTCGTTTAAATGATGGGCACAGATGATTGCTAGGTCACATGACTTCAGTCTGCAAACTCGGTCCTCTTTGTGTGAGCTGAACCAGATTGGTAGCTTCCAGTCATTACAGCAAAAAGGCTAACACACTGTTCCACTGCACCATACAGCACAAACTGAACATTAGTCAGTAGCATAAAACAAACACACACAAAATGATTAGTCCCCTCCCCCAACCACCTTCCATTTATCAAAAAGTTAATGTCAGGAGTTTCAGCATTTGTCAAATCCAACTATAATTGAAAAATACTGTTCCATAGGATTGGCCACCTTGTGGGACGGGTCTTTATTCAGACTGTAATCTTGGGTTTAGTTTGCTCCAAAAGCAGTACATGGAACCCCAGCTAGCTCTATTCGGCTATCGGCCACATTCTGACAATACATCTTAAAGCGAGTCTATGATTATCCTGTGTTCCCGATGGCTAGTATAAAAAACACAAGCATGTTGATGACATCATTTTCAGACTCAAGGCCAATATGGGAAGTTTCAATGTATATTCCTGCAGAGTCCTGCACTGTATCATTTAAAATAATAATATTCCGAATGTTTCATCCAGTTGTATATAATGGACTATTCACCAAAGCCACAGTGGCTAACTGTCTTCAACTATCAGAGGGGTTGCCGTGTTAGTCTAGATCTGTAAAAAGCGACAAAGAGTCCTGTGGCACCTTATAGACTGACGAAGTGGGTATTCACCCACGAAAGCTTATACTCCAATACGTCTGTTAGTCTATAAGGTGCCACAGGACGCTTTGTCGCTGTCTTCAACTAGCAGGCTCACTGATACTTAACAGGAACTGAGCATTCGGGGAGCTGCAGTCCGTCAAATCTCATTTGCAAAAAGATAACAGAATACCAAATTCAATTGTCAGACGAGAGATGTGCCTTTACAAATGCAACAGATAACAGTAATGAACGTGAACACAAATGTTGTTACCGCATTCCCACTATGGGGCACCTCAAAGTCCAACATCGTGGGCTCTTTAAAAATCAGTCAATTAGACCACTCCAGAGTCTGCATGTTTCTGTTCTGCGTTTGTACTAGAACAAAAATATCACTTAAAAGCTTCTATGGCAATTAAAAAGGGAGTATGAGGTGTTTGAAAACAGTCGTTGGTAAAATACTTCATAATTTAAAGAGAAACCTTACTGCCAAATTTGGTGGGCATTAGCCCTGCTTCTCATATCAGTTTAATAAGTACAAGATACATTTTTTAAGGCATGTCTTAAAGAAATGCTTCCACATTCTTTCCCACAATCACATCCATCAAAAACCAATATCCACAGAGTAGACTGCATGAGTAATACTCCCCCCCCCCACTGTAAGTATATATTTTTGGTTGAAATAATTCAATGATCTGTGTGTCATGGTAAGGAATATCGTCCATGAAAGATATTTTTTCTGTAAATATACTCCAGTGACAAAATTAGTGTTAGAAAAAAGTATATTCCAGTATATTTTTTAAATGAGGTTTGGGGTAAAACAAAACAAAAACATAAGAAAACTGGAGAAGCGGCCTTATAAAGTTACAGATTTTTTTTTTACATCATTGATGATAGCTTGGCATTTGCATGTCATGATGACAGTTTATTGAACTTCCTAAATCCAGACAAATTACTTAGTAGTCATGATGAGAACAATACTTTATTAAAGAAGGAAATAGTTTGTTTCTCTTTTCCAGGTCACAGGAAGCTGTTGTCATAATAAGGCAGAGTCCCTGAAGGGCAGGAAGATTGCATCCCGGCTGACCACCAGAAGGGTACAGTTAGTTAAAGGACATTAATCCTGGATGCAAATGGAATGGATGTAGTGCAAAATTGCCAAATTACTGTGTTTTGCTGCCTAACTCCAAAACAGGGAAAGGGATTTTTATTTTCCAAATGGAAATAATTTACTAAAAAAAAATCCCTATTTAAAAAAAAAATCAGAATTACTTTCCCTCATATATGCGCTTGCTTGTTTCTTAAATTACAGCTGGATAGAATCAAAATATAATTTAAAAATTATAATTAAAATTATACTTATACATTTGGTTCATTTATGGTTTTGCCTTCATCTCTTGGACTAGTTTAGTAAAAAAAAAAAAACCACAAGGTGCAAGTTGCTCGAGCCTCCAGTGTACAGTCATGACTCTAATATCCCTCCTGTTCTTCAGAAAAAGTTCTCCTAAATAACACTGATTTCCTATTTTAAAAAAGACACTCCCTTCCTGTAAGACAAAGCATTTTAAAGAGTCAAGACTAACAGGGACACAGTGTGGCCTAGTGGATACAGCACCAGACTGGGACACAGGAAACTTGGATTCTATTCCCAGCTCTGCCAATGGGTGATCTTGAACAAGACACTTGACCTCCCTGAGTCTGTTTCTCCATCTGTAAAATGGTGATAATGATACTGACCCTTCTCTGTAAAATGTTTTGAGATTTATAAATGAAAAATGCTGTATCAGAATTATTATTATCATAATGCTCAAGAACTCTGGGCTGCACATACTGATCTGCAATTGCAGAATTGCTCTTGAGCACTGAATTATACACACTAGTTTTTATTTCAAGAATCCCAATCAATGTAAAAGGGCATCTCTGATTCACAATGAAAGTGTAGCTTGGCACCTGTACTTTTCAGTCAAATATTATAACGGAGATTTATTAACTTAAGTAAATAAGATGTTAAATTTCCCAGGAAATATTGCATATTTCAGGCTATGGCTAGCTAGACCCATCATGTCTGCTCTCCCTAATTTGCACAGCTAATTAGAAAACCATTAAAAGCTGCATTAGCAATAACAACAACTTAAAAACAAAAATGGTGCAGCACAGGAGATTGTATCTGTAGATGGGAATCATCATGTTGGAAAAACCTGTACAAGATTTCAAAACCTGGAATGCAGAAAAATGTCCCTCCACTCCATTAACAAAACATCCTCTTTTAGCCCCACTTATCAGTTGCATGTAAATTCCCTAGATAATGATGCAAATTACAGAAAGCAAAACCCACAACACAAGACTGGAACCTCTCAATATCACAAGGCCTGAGAGTCATAAGCTATTCATCACCACCACTACACAGAGATTTTTTTTTTTAATTTAGCAATTTGCCATCACAGTAGATTAAAAAAAACCCAAAAAAATCTGTGTTAATGGAACTTGTAAACTGTGCTGGCAGATCCACAGATCACAACTGCTTACTATTCCTTCCAGCTAATGAACTTAGGTACTCAATTCTAACCCTGCTGATGACCCAGTGTTGGGCGTGATTACTAAACTAGGTATGACCATGGCTCCCAGGGGTTAGCTAATTAAAAAAACAACCGAAACCCCACATCATCATACACTAGCTCCTGAGAACTTTAAGGAAGGCAGATTAATTAATGTGATGGGAATTTTAAAACCACAGAATGTCACACGGTCTTAATATGTGCCAAAAAGTGGGAGGGTCTTAACATTAAAATTAGAAACAAACGGTTTCCTTTGTTTCTTTTATGCCGTTGTTCAGGTGAGTGTGGAAGCTTCTGGGGAAAAGAAAGATCATAGATGAAGGTAAAAAAATTAGTGAGATGGGGCCATCACCCATGA